TTTAATTACCCTGTCACAATTCTTCTTTTCTTCACAGAAGTTGGTAAACTCTGGTCCCTTTTATCAACACCAAAAGTGTGCTTACCAGTACCTACAATATTTTTTAAAATTCACAAAATCACTAAATTTTGGTGAGAACTTTAGATAGGGAAAAACTGATTCTCTTATCTTTGGACATTTTAATGTGAATGGTCAGATTGTCACAATTTGCCGATATTTCCATAAATTTTTAAATATATTTTACCTCGGTTTGTTACACAAACGAAGAATCTCTTTATGAGGATATCTGTCGGAAAATATAAAAGATAATAATTATTAGTTCGCATCTTTTTAAGATCATCCACCATCCAAGACCTATTATTTAGAATTGTACATTTACTTGCTAATATCTACCCAGCTTTAAGCCTATGGTATAAATTATTTTGGGCTCCTGCATGTGTACCTGCTTTTATATACCCATCTCGAACTGCCCACAGCTTTAAGATCCTAAAGAATACTCCTGCATGAATACGAAGCTACTACCTTATTTTTTTTTGTCGGGTGGAAATCCTTTACGGACACTAGGTACAGGTTTCTCCTTTCCCTGGTAGTGTGGTGGACTCCAGTATACCCCACTAAAACCACCTCCTGCTCTACAGGTACCGGAACTGTCCTCCAGAGGATATTACTTCATATATCTGCTGCGGTCTTCTATTTTCAGTTCTGTCTTGGTTTGTACATCCCATTCTTCCTTTCTCGGCCATTAACCTCGCTATTATTATAGTGCCAGACAGCCATTTCTCCTTACTTTCTATGAGCTTTTCTATAATATTCTCCGGAGGTAACGGAGGTTCTAGAGTGGATTTAAGTGCCGTTCTTTCCTGCTGTCATCTGAGGCACTGAAAAAATGTGTGTTCCACCGAGCCTATTTCTTGACAGTATCTACACCGATTATTATTTGAGATTTTAAACCTGTAAGTGTATTCGCTGAAAGAACCATGTCCCAACAGAAATTGCAAAATACAGTAGTTTGTGTTTCTCTATGAACATTTTAGCCTCTGATCAATATCAGGCAACAGTCTTTTTGTCCAGGATGCCTTCAGGTTATTTGCTTCCCATCTGTTCTGCCACATTCTTATGCTTTCTATTTTTGTGTTCCTTATTACACTTGTCGGTTCTCTGTTGTGTCGTCTTCCCCTCTCATTCACCAGAATATTAATAGGGATGCATCCTGTGATGACCTGTAGAGCCTCTGCAGATACGGTGCGGTAAGCCAACGCTACTCTAAGTAGCATTTTCCGCTGTACAGCACTGCAAATTGCATGTCGCCATTTAACAATGTCCATCCACGTTAGACATTATTTTAGATAGTGCCGCTATCTGTTTTTTGGCTCTAATTGCAGCATTTTTGACATGTGTTCCAAAAGTCAGTCGTTCATCTAGCCACACTCCCAAATATTTGACTTCCTTGCTTGGGTTGATTGTTCTGACTCCTAGTTAAAATCATATTCCCGTCCTGTTTCTTTTTCCCCTGACTACGACCGCTTCTGTTTTTTCTGGGGCTAAAGTAAGATTGTTATTGGTCATCCATTCTTCAATAGGTTTACAATATGTGTTATATCGTCTTTTGAGTTTGCGCCTACCACCAAAGCAAGGTCATCTGCATATGCCACTTTCCTAGAGCTTTCTCCTAACTCCAGTGTGAGTACTCCGTCGTAAAGAACATTCCATAAAGTTGTGCCCAAGACTGACACCTGTGGGACTCCTTGTGTGGCTTGCAGCTGCTACCATCCTATTTTTAGAGTTCTATCACTTAGATAACTTGCTATGATGTTGATGATGTACTTACTAATATTAATCTCTTGAAGCTTCTCGATTATCTTACTCCATTCGACTGTGCTAAATGCGTTTTTAACATTAATTGGCTTTACCGCGATCTGATTGGGTAGATCTCTGTCAAGTCGGGGAATTACCCAATCACTCCAATCAGTAGGCCGCGCGCCGGCGCCGTAGACCAAAACGATTGCATGATATATAAAAGTAAATATTGACGTATTACGTTTTAGACTTTGGTCAACTGCGTTCTGATTGGATAGTTAGCTGTCAATACATTAACTTTTGACACATTGATTTTGAACTACCATCATTAATTCATTGATGATGATGATGGTATACTTATAATAAATCTTTCGAATGATATGATTCAAATACTCGATAAATTTGATTTTCAATCTTCCGAGTATTTGATTATGAAGATCATTCAATTATGCCCATCACTAGAACAAACCACATATTACTGAACGTGGCAATCTGCGATTGATGTTAACGAAATTGGAACCCGACATTAACGGTTTATTAAAACTCCAACAGCCTCAACCATCTCTTTATTTTTTTTTATTTACTAATATTTTTGTGTTTATTTTTATTTCTTATTGATGTTGTGTTTGTTTTTAAAACTTTAATAAATAATTTTATTATTCCTTTGGTTGTCATTTTATTAATTTCTACTTTATGATTTTTAATAGATAAATAAGCAGATAAATAATGTACCGATAATATGCAACAATATTTAAATAATTCATATAAAAAATGAACACTTGTTTTTTATTTAAATTTCTGTAAAAAAGTTTTATGTTTCGGAGTAGCGTTAAAAATTTTTTATCTTCTATAGGTGGCGGCGGTCCAGAAAAGGTTAGCAACCTCTGCAATAGATAAATGAAGTGAACTCAAGTGGCTTATATTCATCTAAAGCAAAGAACATCCCAACATATAATTTGGTGATTCCCTGACTAATCATTTATTTATTTTAATTAGTTTAGTAAACGATTATGAAATCGTATATTGCTCTTTTAAATAATTCAATCAATACTGGGGTCAATTTGACCCAAAGCGTTATAACACGTTTAATAAAATTTGTACAATTTTTCTAAATTCATTCATTAAAGTACGGTAACGAAAGATTACCTAGAAAAAGAAAAAAAAATGAGAAATAATTGTGTATGTTTTATAGCATACACTCCGAAGATTAATATTCGTTTTCACTATTTTTTTTTTTTAACTTTATATCCATACATTCACGCTCTTTATTTGTGGATTTCACTAAGCTTTGTTTCCAGATAGGATCTTCTAAATAATCCTCCTCACTTTTTCCCATTAAAAAAACTTTAAAATTTCATACAATAGGTGAATGAAGAGCAGTCACGTGGCGCTACATCCAACTCACAAAACTAAAGCAAAGAAGAAATGGCGGGCCCGTCGAAATCAACAAGCGTGCAAGTGCAATGTGACACATGCCGTCATTATTCCACCGGATAATGTACTGCACTAATTGGCGAGGGTCGATACGCCCTCTCGACGTTCGCTCTCTCCCGTTTTATATATATCGCATAGCATCGCGGCGGCCGTGAAAACGATCCTCTGAGATATAATTATTGAGAATCAGAAAGCATATGGTAATAAGTCAGCCGGAATTGGCGTTAGGGAAATTGAATCTTCGATCTGCAAATTTGGCTGTAAGTGGTTTCTGTTCGCAAGTTCGAGTGAATTTGAATAAGCGGATATTCTAATTTAAGTACGTTTAAATAATCTATTATTGCTATTAAATTGTAGAAAACATTAAGGTTTAAAATTTACCTAAATGGGAAAAGTAACTTATTGTAACTGAGACCTCTACCCTACTTTTTAATACATTTCTTTACGTTATTGATCTGTCAAATAAGACATCAAATTATTCAACTTAGTTCGTTGATGTATCGGTGATGATCGGGACTTACAATAATAAAGTAGTCGCTAACTGTAACAATAAGTAAATATATGTGTTTTAAAACCGTTTGAAACATATCAAAGACGATCCTGTGCTCGCGAACCAAGGTGGTCATTATTAGCAGCTATAAACAAATGGGTACTTGACAAAAATCGCGTTGGCCAAGCCACATCGGCGCAAAACACTCAAGGCCTAAGTCACGTAGCCATATAAAAATTTCTTTCTTTAAAACGACACAAAACTCCAGACAAGTCTGTGCTTCGATAGAAGACAGACGTGCTCTCATTAACATCATGACAATTATTTTCTGTTATATAACTCACTTAAGTTCTCCGAGCAAAGATAAGAAGACATCAAATAAAATGTGAAACCCTAATGAAGTATTAAGCATGTAGGTAGTTGTTAAATAAAAATAATGTAAATATGTACAAATTTAAAAAGTTATTGTGCAGTGTTTTTGCACAATAAATTGTTTTTTACAAAGTGTTGGAATTTCATTGTTCATATCGAGATGGTTGCAACTAGCACCGAAAGGAGACAGTCCAGTTGGTAAGCGCGCCCTAGCGCCGTATTTATAATTTGTGTTGAGTTCAACTTTTAATAACCTACAAATCCGACAATATGGGATTTTGTGGTTATTAAAGCAGTTTCAGAAACATTATTCATTTGTCTTAGGCAAGCAGGTGCCAAAGTTAGGTTAACTCTTTACAAGGGTTTGTTAAAAAATGTTAGAAAATTTATTTACTGTGACAGAAATATGTATTTACTTATGGTAATTGATTTATTCTTTGTAATAGTTAAAACAATAACTATGACAATCGAAGACATTGCAGCAAAAACGAGGTATCTGCAATTTTTGGCCAAATGGAGTTATCTGCACGAATCGCTAAAGAATATTAATATTGTCGTCTGTGCCAAAAATGAGACATCTACCTTACTTAGATCCGGTCCTGCACAATCTTTTGTATCTATCTCCTCTATTTCATATGTTTCATTTGGTGCAATAACAAGGCAATTGTTGGTTGCATAAACGAGGTAGGTGTCAGATGCCTCCTTTTTGCACCAGAGATTTGACATATTTGTTATTGTTAGCTTTTCGCTAATAAAAGTGTTAAAATATTTAAACAAAATGATTAACTATGAGTCTTCAAGATTTGAGGAAGATGCAGGCTGATCAGATGACTACGTACCCTCCCATATTAGTACTGAAAATGAATCAGATGCAGCGGTTCCAGAAAGAGAGTTTAGAAAGAAAAGAATGTTACCTAAAATTGAGAAGTGGAAACAAAGTATAAGGAAAAATACCAGGGCATTGGGAAAAGCTACGTTGGAGCTACGGGAAAGCGAGGTGGAGACCGCAAAATTGGTAATGATTGCGAATGTAAGTATGGTTGTTTCACCAAAGTTAGTGTCGATAAAAGAAATACAATTTTGGAGACTTTCAACAAATTGGGCATAAAGGCTAGACAAGATGAATACCTGTCTGGATTAATTACATGTCAGGCAACTCAACGGAGGAAACACAAGGCTGTGAGAAACCGTCTTATGGCAAATACTTATCATGTAAGCTAAACATGTCTATTAGTTCATTTCATAAAACTAATGTAATTTTATTATTTTATTTTTTAGTTGCGCATTGGTACTGAAAAGCCTAAGATATGCCAAAAAGCGTTTGTATCCTTCTACAACATTTCTAAAAAAAGGGTGGAGCTTATAGCAAGTCATATCGGCTTTGAAGAGGCATTATTTCCAAGAAAATACTCAAGAGGTCGACATGGAAAGAGGCCAAACATTATTTTAGCTGATTTACTTGCTCAAATAGATACCCATATCAAACATTATCCAAGAAGAACTTCTCACTACAGCACGAAAAACAAATTAAAGCGTTATTATTTATCACCAGAACTAAAATGTGAGAAAAATGTAAAAGTATTTCAAGTACTAGTGCAAATACCGAAGGTGAAAGACTCAGGCCAAAAGTTTCTTATGAATTTTTTTACCGATATTTTAAAGCAAACTACAACAACTTCTCGTTTGGGAATCCTGGTAGTGACACATGCCAAAAATATGACTTCGAAAACCAAATTAAAAACAAAAACTTATCCAATGAAGAAAGACTGGTTATTGAAAATGAGAAGAAGGTACATCTTAGAAAAGCTGAAGTTTTTTATGAAGACATGAAAGTAAAAATGGAATTAGCAAGAAATTACCCTGAAATTGAACTTTTAACTTTTGATTACCAACAAAATGCTCCATTACCTAAAGTTTCCTCAGGAGATGCTTTTTATTTAAGGCAGCTGTGAATGTTTAACTTTTGGATATACTCAGGTAAAAAACAACAAGCAACATTTTACATGTATGATGAAACATAGGAAAAAAGACCGCAAATGAATCTGTCAGTTTTTTGTACCATTATATTGAACAAAAGCTAGAAAAAAAATGTGAAACCCTATATATTTTTTCCGATAACTACGCTGACAAAATAAAAATTTCACAATGGAGTCTTTTTATATGCTCTTGTTGAAAATTGTAAACTAAAAAATATTATGCATAGTTTTCCCGAACCTGGTCACAGCTTCTTGCCGTGCGATAGGTGTTTTGGAGTTGTTGAAAAGTGTTTTAGAAAAGTGGATCGGGTTCTGCCGATAGAATATATTCAACATAATCAAAAATCATTCAGGAAACTTAATATAATACCCGTCACCCAAGAAAATATTTTAACTTTTGTACAGCATCTTCAAAACTACACAATAAAATTAATATTTAATAAAGCAAAAGAAAAGTTTGCTATTTCAAAATACAGAACCTTAAGTTATGATTCAGAATCAAATATGAACTGCAAATATGATGTTAAGCGAACAGTATCATATCACAAAACAAAATAGCCGCATCCCTTTAAAACCAAATGCGTCGTCATATAGTTCACCCTTACCATTAAAAGAAAACAAACTTGCAAATGTAATGTTATTGGCAAAGAAGTATGTACCACAAGTTGACTATTTAGTATTTTATCAAAACCTGAAGACAGATGCTGCTCCTGACGAAGGCGAGACTGATGTTACAGACGATGAAGATCAGCACTAAGAAAAAACGCCCATTAATTACAACATGTACTGCATTATTTCCTAAAATAAAGTTAGGTTTCTTAACACAGTGTCTTGCTCATTTTATTTGATGCAAATGAGGTAGCTTCCCAAATATTCAAAATATAAAATAGAAACAGTCATGTGACATGTAATTATGTTCATTGGACATCTAAGTTTGCTTGTAGATAAGTAAACATAACTATCTTTATAAAAACATAACTATCATTAGTAAAATACAAAAAATGTCATGGTTTTGGTGGCAAAAACGAGGCAGTTGCAAAACTTTTTTTAGTTTTTCAAAAAACTGTAGGTCTTAAAAATATTGTTTTCTCTATCAGTGTACTTCTATCCAACATTTTTACTACATTTACAGTAAACGAAAAAAAAAATCAATTTTAATTTTAAAACAGTGCAAGTATCTCGTTTTTGCTGCAATGTCTTCAATCGTATTTGTTTTAAGTAAATAATTTATTTGGCACTGTTTTCTTCATGCAGCTATTATTATCCATTTATTCAAGTTTGCCATTTTATCTAAATTTCATAATCGAATTTATTAAAATAAATTATGAAATCTTTTAAGAAGGAATCAATGTTCATTACTTCAGAATATAAACAATCGTAATAATTATCTAAATTTTCCAAACCTATATGTTCTTGTCTTGTTATCTGTGGCAATTTATAAAACGCGAATGAGGAAAATTTTATCTACGATAACTATACGATGGTGTATACATAACTAGAATTTTGCGGTTGGTGGCATATTCATTTAATTCTCTTAAACGCTTGTCCATCAAAACAGTCGGAGATTATATCTTCAACGAAACCATAACTAAATATTGTAACGCGATCAGTCAGTCCTGCATGTTGACTGATGGTTGAGATCCAAGAAATCTGATAGCAGGAATATTTTCGTTTTACTGTGCAAATTGTAATATTCAGATACGTTAAACATTTCCTGTGAACTCGATATTTTCTTAAGAATTCACTGCGTACGTATATAAAAAAATATGTAATTTTTGTTTTTTTTTTGTTTTTCAATGAGACAGTTGTTTCTTATTATTTAAGTACACGAACAATGGCGCACAATTGTAGTCAGCTTAGTGACCGATACATGTATGATTCTATAGAAATAACTAATATTTTTTTGGATTAAATGGTTTTAGGTGGCACTAAAATAAAAAGTAACGCATTAAACAGTCATAATTGCAAAGTTACCCATAAAATTCCCTTTTAAGTGATGCATCATACTTAATACTTTTAATATTCAAAAAAGTTAGGTAAGGTTGATAATGAGTGGGATGATCTCATTGCCTTTCATTTCAACCCAGTTGGCATCTATTGTGACTCATTTATAACTTCACTGTACAAGCTACACCATTTGAGGCCATGATTAAATCGTGCGAGACTTCAAAGTGGATAGGTAAATTCGAAGATCTTATAGTTCACCGTACAAGCTACACCATTTGAGGCCATGATTAAATCGTGCGAGTCTTCAAAGTGAATAGGTAAATTCGAAGATCTGGAATCAAGTTCTTTCTAAACCGGAGCAGGTACAGCAGGCTCTGCGAATTCGTCTTCCACGCAGCAGAATATTCAATCCGATATTTTTTGCAGACCTATCCTTCTTATGTGTCATCCATTCCGGGATCTGAGTAGAGGCGTCCATTTAAGGGTTGGGTATCAACGCCTTCGAATAAGTTAGCCCAGTTGATGTTACACTCAGTGCATTTTGAGAGAATTCCTTTGGAAGTGCTCTTTACGATCCACAGAAATGGTCCTGGTCCTGTGAACTTGCATTCAGTTCCTATTTTATCGAGCGCATCGGCTTTTTCATTGCCCTCCACAAAGCTGTCTCCTGGAACCTAGATCAAAATAACAATATTCATGGCAACGAGACGGTTAAGGATATTTAACAGTTCCAAATACGTTTCGAGTCAACTTTATTGGAGTTCAGGGCCTTGAGGGTTGCCTGATTATCCAAAACAGTCTTTAGAGTCTTGTAAGCGGGGAGAAAATTAATCAACGTTTTCGTTTCCATATTCAGTAGCGGTCATTTCTGCTTGAAAGATCATAGTCAGAGAGCTTAGACTTATTGACTTGGTTCTTTGTTCAAAACTACCGCTCCTGCTCCTTTTTCAGTTTTAGAGCCGTCCACGTAAAACGCATACGTCTCTCTCTGTAATAAGAATAGTATGAGTGTGCTGTCAGGAACCTAGCGAATCTGAGACCATTCTCAGGTTGTTGTCGTTATTAATATCACTCATCAGCTTCTTCCCTGCATTGACTATTCATTATCAGAAGTCTAGGGGTAAATGTATAATGAAAAGCTTTCTCATATAGAGCCAAAAGTCAATGAAAACAGGCTCTTTAAAAACAGCTGTTAGAGAATTATCATTAGACAAATCAATAAGCTTTTCATCTTCCAGTAAAGTATAAGAAGTATACGAAGTTACTCCTTAAAAGTATTATGTATCCAGATTAAGTATATGTTTATTAGTAAAATAAGAATAAAAATTAAATGTTAATTGAAGCTGTTTGATATGTTCAGTAATATTCCTTTTAATATATTCGTTCAGTGTCATTTTCTGATAAATTGGTGTTGTGAGAACCAAAACATTCGTAACCATCGACGACGAAAAACTAAAAGATTAATCCGTTAATTCATAATTACGCCCTTATTTATTACAATCATTAAATTAAGATTTTGCTATATATTTATATGTAAACCATTTAAAATCAAGATGTTCTGTCAAAAAAGGTTTAAATTTTTGAATTATATTGTCAATACGGCTCAAAAGTGGTAAAATTATAGATATAATCTCATGAATTTACAAAAAGCAATTCAATATTATTTTTCTTTACAAAAATTAGACATCTTTTATCATCATTTTCTTTAAAAGAAGTAAAAGTATGAAGCTCTTTTAAATTGTCTGTTAAAAATATTCTTTGCAATCAAAACTATTCACGTTCTTTATCACAAACCCTGCAACGTAAATAATGGCTTCACTCTCAAATTTTGAATCGTCTAATATATCTGTATTGGATAAATTAATATTTTCTAATTCATTATTATTGCAATTTAATATTTTTGGTTGTGTAGAAAGATAATTCAAATTGTTTAATATACTAGTTCCGTCAGCTTCACAATTAGAGCTGTAATTCCTTGCTGATTTACAACTCTTTAAAAAGCAGATATAAATTGGTAACAATTAGAAGTATTGGAAGTACTCACTTTGGTAACGACTGCTGTAGACTAACCCTGTATAGTTAGAAAAGAAAATTTTAACGAAATATAAGTTGAAATGTACCGGTGTTCGTGGAAGTTATTCCACATTACCGTTTGTGGCACCTTAAAAATATAAAAAGCTTTATCTTGCACTAAGTGACAGATGCACAATTCTTTTTCCTAATAGGGAGTTTATTATTCTACAACTGTCCATTGTAAAGATTTAACTGAAGCAAAAAATTCGAGAAATGCAGTCTGGTTGAGCTCGATAAACTTGTATTTAATTGCTTTAACTTTTTTTATTAAATAACGCAAATAATGAATGAATAGATTTATGAATCAGAATATTCCAATGATATATGTATACTCGTAGTATTTTAACACTGGTACACAGATGTAGGAGTCTATTTGGTGATCTGCAATCTTTTCTTTCATCATATGAACTTATCTACCCATTCTCTTAAGTGAACTATTTTTGTAGTAAGATCAATTTAATGATGTTTGTGTTTCTCACGCTTTTTGTGAAATACTTTCTCAGGCTTTGGATTCCAAATGTTTCAATCACCGCCAAATTTCTTCGAACGAAAAAAAAAAAAAAAACAAAAATATATCCGTCTACCACAATTTTTCGTAATTACAGTGCGAGATGAAAAACCGGCTGCAAAGAATAGCTAATAATTTAATTATTACCGGCAATGAAAGGCGTAAAGTTGTTTAAAAGTGCAAGTCATTCTGTTCCAGCTCCAACACGTAGAAAAGCTCACTCCTTCACTATAACCACAACCAAACAGAGACGGTTCGACGAAGTAAGTATACAAAAAAAAATGAAACAGTAGCGTGTAAAATTAGATTTATAGATATTTATACACATTACACAAATTAGTTAAAAAGACATAAAAATATTTTTTTTCTTTCTTAAATGTCTGGAATCAACAAATGTAAATAAAATAGATAAAGAAATTTTAGAAAAGATAATAAAAAGAGAATATAATATTGTTTAAATGGGAATAAAGAGTATTTCTTACGAAAAATTAAAAACAAGAACAAATAAAATCGGCAACCATGTTATACTACTAGTAGGAATAGAAGGACGATGTTTCAGGAAGAAGAATAAACCAAGTAGAAGAAGGAATATTCCATTTTCAGGAGGAAGCCAGTAATAGTGGTCTCCTACCTACTTTTTCCATGACCATCGAGCAAATAAAGAAATTAACAAACTTAACAGTACCTACTAAAATAGCCACATTATTTCCGAAATTTTTTTCGCTAATTTCAATAAATACGGGGCCTAAAAATTTCAAGATACTGATAACTCCTGACAACTGTCATATTTATTACCAACGATATTACTAGAGCCCGTCTCTAACACTTCTGCTTCTAAACAAATCCAGTAAACCATTCTTCTTTAAAGTCTCTTGCGCGTTTTTCAGAGAATTCTCGATATTTTTTATATCAATATCAATTTCTATTGCATTTTTATTACCTTTTAATTTAATTAATGATAATAATGCTGCAGTACTTTGATTTTTAGTGGCTAGGAACACAGGAGATTCAGATAAGAGTATATCAACTAGAATTAATTCTTTTACTAAAGATAGAGCTAGGAACATTATATAAATTGGTACACTTAATATAGGACCCAGCAAGTATTCACACAGATTTCCTAAAGGCATATTTACCCCCATTATACTGACTATCCTCCCCCGATTATGGTCCTCTGATATTTCACTCAGATATAAAGGTGGCGCTACGTAAACCCCAGCTACAAATATAAACAAAAACCACCAGGCTGTCGAGTAAACCTAAAAATGTTTAGCCAATGATACAATGACAAGTGACAGAAGAATGCCGAATGACAGAAATAGCAGCGTGTTTTTTCTTCCAATAGCGCTTGGCATTTTGGCGAGGAACAGATTGCCCAGTATGGCTACAAAATATGGTAGGTCGGTTATCAAGCCTATTTCGAATGATGTGATTGGTTCATTACAAGGGTTTTCTTCTGGATCCGTTAATTTTAGTTTTGGAATTATTGGGAATGACCATACTATGCAGGAACAGCCGCTGAAGACCAATAGTCTTGCTGAAAATAGAAGAAAATAATATTAATAGCACCGTTCATCACATCCTCAACAGCAACAAAGTTGTTACAATATTTTTAAATTACGTTTAACAAGTTATAAAAGTAATTTTAAAAAACCGACTTCAAAATCGTGCAGTTACCATCACCACATCACCAAAGGGTCGGTCCGAGGACCGATCCCTGCGAGACGCCAGCAGTTACCTCTAGGTCGGCGTTTTTCTCTAGTTTAATCTTGCACTCTAAAAAGTAACTCTTTATAGTTGCATACATAATATATTTGGGTATGTTTCTTCTTTAAGCATCAATGATTAGTTTTCAAGCTGCTACGTTAAAAGCATTTTAATGTCTAGGTATATCACCGCTACCCATTTGTATACCGATATCTTTACAAATCCTATAACCCACTTGACTACTATTATGGTAGACTTCTCCTTCCTAAAACCAAATTGACGTATGAATAATCCTTCCATTCCAAGTGCTAGTTCCAGTGTCTTTTTAATTATCCTTTCTTACACTTTACTAAGGTATATAGGAGCTTGGATCTCGGGTGGGTCACCCTGTTTCTGGATAAGTACCAGTTTTAATGTCTTTCAACTTGTAGGAAATTCCTGTTGTTTTAATAGAAAATTTCATATTCCGAGAATCAGTTCCGGTTTCAGTTTCGGTTTCAGTTCTACGACCTTCCATATCAATTCGGTTGGGATGCTACCTAGCCCGGGCACAGCCTAGTGAGTGATGTGGAGGCAACTCAGCCTCCCCACGTTACAGATACAGATCTGTGTCAAAAAATAATAATTAATAGTTCCTTTGCGGATCTGTGCCTGCAGTTTATCCATATCTTGATATTTGGTAGTAGGTGCTGGTGCTTCATTCATTTTCCCTTATCGTTAAAGGGAACCGCTTGTTCTTGTTGTTTGGTCATTACTAAATATGCCTCCTGGTTTTGGTATATTTCACTTCTTAGCTCAACGAGCAAATCGATTGGGAAATCCTTGCGATAATTTCGCCGCATCAGTTGAAACAATTTTTATGGCCTATCATGCTTTTCAGCAGTATATATTTTGACTGCCTCTTTAGCACTATTTGAGCCCTGTCCATTTCTGGTGCGTCAAAAGATAGAATGGAATCTAAGACTACACATAACATTTAGCAATTTTTCTCCCTAGTTTTACTTGTATTTAAAAGAATACGAGCAGTGGTTAAATAATATGATTTTTATAGCTTTTTTGGCAGTCCTTTCAGAATTATGCAGCTATATTCCTAGATATTTAATCTGGGATTGATTGCTTATTGTGTTCACTTTCTCTTCAAAAACACTTTTCATCTTTTTGGGCTTACAAATACAGAGGCTTAATTCTTGTTTGCTGTGAGTTCTAATTGAATGTTTTTCTCCATCTACTGATATATTTAGTTACCTTTCTTCGTTACTCCTTTATTTATGACTTTTTTGCCATAGACCAACGCTAGTCTGACTACCAGGTTATTCGCCGCTACTGTTTAGAATTCTTCAGGTATTTAAAGAAGCTCTTTTTGTAGTAGGAAACCATGCGATATACCTTGGATATATTAAAATGCATCTTTCATTGAAAATAATCGTGTACTTGACACCTAATACTTCTTTTAGAGAAAACTTAAAAGTAAAACCAATAAATATAGAATAAAAAGATTGTTTAGCTATGTTAAGAGGTTAGAGAGTACACTATCAATAAGAAATTTATTCGAAGCAAGAAGAAACAGAAATAAATTAAGTGGTGAACCAACAAACTAGTGGATAGAAGAAGTGAAATAAGTATCGAACAGATTAGAGATGAAGTGAAAAATTAAGGGACGAAAGGTAGATATAGATCTAGAGCCTTCCATAAAAAGAACTTGACTTTGGCAAATGTTTAATAAAAATGAGGACCTATAAGCGGTCAGGGAGCCAATGTTTAATAAACATGAGGACAGATAAGCGGTTAGGGTTAAGCAAAATATCAATCGTGATAATTCTTTGATTGTTTTTTCAATAACAGTGATTGACCTTAAAAGGTATTACCTTGAGAAGCCATGACTTGTCTTGTATAAAGATAACTTATGAATTTGTATTGTGTACATATCTACTTCAATTTATTGTCTGTTAAATTAAAGTTTATCTTCGGTCCTTTATATTCAGAATCTTCGATAATAATTTGTTTTCCAGTTGACTTTGTCAATATAGATGCTAAATTGTAGGAGTCATGCTCACCAGTGTCTCACTTCTTTATTAATCTCTCTCACATTTTTTCTTTTATCTTTGTTTATTACTATTTTTGTCTTCTTCAAATAAACTGTTATTTGAAAGTATATCGTGTGGTTTCAATCGTTTTTTTATGAGCCGAGAGATATCTTAATATCTTAAATTTATCTTGTCCAGAGTATGGTTTTCACTTTTTTAATAATACATTATATAAATGCGTAGAAATTAAATATTTGGATTATTTATTTGTTTCAAGTATAGGGATGGTTTTTGTTTACTCCACCTGAAAGGTTAATGTGTCGGCAACCGGCCCTGCAGCCATCATCAAGCAAGGGTAAAGCCTGGTAATTTATTACACCGTTTTATACCAACTTTGACATCTCAATCAGACACTCTCTTGTTCGTGGTTGCTTTCATCGCACCCGTGAGAAATTAATTATGTATGATTGAGATTTATCTTGGCGTGTATGAGCGCACGATTCATATTTCAGTACAAAGCTTTGTGATTTACCACCTGAAACCTCTGAAATAACTTTTTTGTTCGTTCGAATATTGAAACCGCATTTGCCAACAAATAAGAAAATCCAAAATTTAAAATGCATGTATTGTTTTGGGAATAAACAGATTGTTTTAACATTCATTTACAAGAGCTCGTAAGAAATTTAATTTCCTACCACATTTATGTTCTACACTTCTGTAGAAATAGTAGTTGTTTACATCATATTATGTATACAGGGTGTATCTAAATAACACCGAAAAAATTAAAGGGGTGATTCTGTGATGAAAATTAATGTGAGTGTTTGGTATTAAATTTTTTGAAAAAACCCTCCCCGGAAAAGTTACACCCCTTCGAAAATTAAAAAAAAAATGGTTTTCCTTTTTTATTTTCCCTGTATATCAAGCTAAAGACACGAAACTTGGTAAACATTATCTGTCAATAAAAGTACACTTTTTAAATTTTTTCAACCCTGAAGTATGCTTAGAAGGGGTTGAAATAATCAACCCCTAAGATATTTTTTCTTACAACTTTTTTTTAGATGAAAATTTTTTCTTTAAAAAAGTATGACTAAAAAGCCCAATTCATTGACTAACTTTTTTAACTCTACAAGTTTTTTCTAAAACTTGAGCATTTACGAGAAAAAAATCTAATGCAATGCATTTTCAAAAAGATGAGCTAACGCGAGTGTATTTTGCGTCAAGTCTAGTGGCCTGTGCTTTGCATAAAACATTAATACTGATACCAGGATTGTGTAGTGTCATTTTCTGTTACCCATCTTATTGTTTCACAAGTTTTATGATTGTGTATTGTAGGAAATATTAGTTGATTGAAAATATGAATGCATATTCGAATTTGGAAATGGCAGATATGCATTTTACATACGGTCGTGCTAACGGTAATTCATTGGAAGCGCAAAGACTTTATGCTGAACAGTACCCACTTGAAAAGAGAAGTTATGATTCTGGTCGTACTAGAGAAGTTAGAACTGCAGCTGTAGAGAAAGCCGTACTTAATTCAATTGAAGAATTCCCAGAAACTAGTACCAGGAAAATAGCTCGTGTTTGTGGGAATAAGCTACTGTATATATATGATATTTAGTTAGTTTTAGTTTATGTTATATGTATACTTACTGGGTCTACAGGAGTCAGTTGATCTGACGGAAATAAAGAGTGAGTTGTCAGATACAAAAGGTCTTATCTTTTATTGTGTAACTTACCATGGCGCAGTTAAAATAATTATAAACCAACGTTTCCAAAAGAAAACCTAAAAACGAAAACTTAGAATGCCGAAGAAGAAGCGCTCAAAATCGTCTGAGAAAGATGAGTCAACTGAGGGTCGCCTGACTTCGCTTGAAGAAGGTGTGAACAGTTTACAAGAAATGATGCGAGAACTAATAAAAACTCAGAGGCCTGCACCTGCAATGACACTTTCTCAACAGAACATTAGTACATTTAATGGAAATGATAGAGGGAACGATACAAGCGTTCCTACATGTGAAAACTCACCTAATACTTCTGTTCGCTTTTCGAGTGCTGTTGCCAGCCCAGAGAAGATAGTAGAGACTTTAAGTTACTCGCAATTTAAAGACTGGAGGCGTAAATTTGAAAATTATTTAGTATTTCAAAACGTGGAAAAAATACCAGAAAAACAAGTTTTGGCACTTCTTGAGTCCTTTTTTAGTCAAGACGTCTCCGATGTAGTAAGACTCGTTCTGAAATTCGATGACAATGTTGAAAAAACACCTAAAAATCTCTTAAATAAACTAGAAGAGTATTTTAAAAAGAAAGAGAATAGTCGTTTAAGACGAAGTCAATTTATGAATAGAAAGCAGGAGCAAGGAGAGTCTTTTATGTCCTTTTATAGGGAGAAAGTGAAACTT